CTGTGGGTGGCTTCAGCAGGGGTTGGATGTATTCCCTCCTCAAAGTATTGCAGTTCTCCTCTGTGCCGGTGCAGGGACCCACTCCGCGCCACCCCACCGCCCTCGCAGAGGTGCTCTCCCACAGGTGGGTATTTTGGAAGGGTGTGCAGCAGCTGGCTTTTGCGTGCCTCAGATTCTGCTCCTTCTCATTACATACAGGAACCCATTAAATCGCAGAAGAAATCTTGAGAACAAGCAGAATTCACAGGCTGAGTCTTCCTGCGGGGATCTCAGCCCGTGTTGGTTGGTGCTTGTAGCGGTGGTTCCATTCCTGTTGTGTTTTGATGGTGTGATCATGGTTTGTCTTTCTCTGAATTTGGTGGTGAGACTCTTGGTTGACTACATCTCCTTCTGTTCTTCTTGTGAATTTGCAGGCTGGCTGAGGCTGGAGGGTGACCCCTCTGGAGGGGGTCTGTTCCAACCCCTCCCCTGGCAGGGCCACCCAGAGCCGGCTTACCCGGGACTCTCAGTTTTGGGTATCTCCAGGGAGGGGATCAGCAGGGTCTTTAACACTTTGAAGTGCTGCTTTTTAACAGTTTGCAAGTAGGTCAGTATTTTGTGCAGTGGTTCTTGTGCCTGGTGTTTTGAACATCTGGGAGTCCCGTGGCTACTTTATATACGTGCATATTGAGCAAGCTGGGCTAGTGGAAGGTGTCCCTGCCCATGGCAGGGGGCTGGAACTGGATCTTTAAGGTCCCTTCCAACCCAAACCCTTCTGTGATTCCATGATGTTAGCATACAGGTAATGTGCACGCTCAGGGCAGTTACCTGTGTATGTGAAACCTGTGGGCAGTCCCTCCGACGGGGAAAACGGAGAGCTCTTGCACCTCGAAAAGCGCTTGTGCAGCAGACGTGCAAAAATTGGGCTCTGAAAAGCCCTGAGTGCCACTGGCGCTGGGGACGCGGGGGTGTCACAGTCCGTGCCGCAGGAATTCCCAACGATTTGTGGTGGTTGACAGCACGCAGGGGTCGGGGAAAGTGTGTTTTGCAGTAGTATGTGTCTGATGGTACCAGATAAGGAGCCAGCGGGTCAGCAGCCGGCTGAAAACGTCTCTATTTTCCAGCTTGGGTCTGAGGAGCAGAGCTGAGATGCCGGAGCGGCACCAGCAGCCTTCACCTCTAAAAACCACGCTAGGCAGTTTGGCTTCCTTGCTGTATTTGCACTATTCTTATTTTTTTATGTCTTCCTTAGAAAAGACTAAGGGAAAATCTGCTTTGAAGGTTTCCCTGGGCTTCGGTGTGCGCAGCCCAGCTCCTCGAGCCTCTCGGGCTGCGCCGTGCACGAGGGGACGGCCCCATCCTGCATCCTCCCTAGTTGTTTATAAAGATATTCGCAGCACAGCCAGCACCGTCCCCTCCGGAGAGTCCTTGGGGGTTTGTTTTGGTGACGGCGCGCCGAAGGAAAGCTGGAAGAGATCACTTTTCCTTTCTGTGCTCCCCGAGCTAAATATACAGAGCGGCAGCTGATGGCTCGGGTGGCGGTGGGAGCTGGCGGCCCGCCGGCCGAGGCTGCTGCCTTCCCCCGCTCACGAGTTACCGAGCCGGGAGGCCGACGGCTTCGCCGCGGGGCCCAGACCCCGACGGGGCCTGAATTTTCCCATTTTTCCATGTTTGTCTGCAAAATGGGAAGAGCAGCCGAAGCTTTCGCGGGCTACGAAGCAAGAGAGCGGGGTGGCACGGGGCTCCAGCCGCCCGTTCGGTCGGTGTCCTCAGTTGCGTCTGCAGGGGATTTGCAGAGTGCCTGCAAAGTTAAAACTTCCACACGTGTTTTTCATGCCCAGTCTGATATTAAAGTCCTATCTCTTTATCTAGAGATGACTTTTTTTTTTTTTTTTTTTTTTTTCTCTGAATTCTGTTACACACTCAAAAGACCCGCTGTGAGGAAGGCTGCACTGGATGATGCATGCAGGGATGTAAATGTGAAATTATCTTTTAATTGTGTTGCATATGTTAGGTGCTGGAATGTGCCTGATCCTCTTTCTCCTGTTTGATTTCCACGTACTATGTTTGCCTCACATCTCATGAACCTCTCCTGCATACAGGGTGGTCTCAAATCTTGTTAGGTTTTCTTGCACTCTCCCTTAATTTTTTAAAATATCATTTTCTTCACTTTTCTTTGGTGTCTCTGTTCTGGCCTGTCTTCCCCCGAGATGGGAGGAGGGTAGGAACACATCAAAGCGTGTTATTGTGACAGATGTGTTCCCCGAGTGAATCGTGATAGAGCTGCAGACTATACTGACACTCTCCCTCTCTCTCTCTCTCTCTCTCTCTTTTTTTTTTTCCGTTAGTGGCTCAGCCCACAGTGAAAATGCCTCGCCTCCTGTAGATGGCATTTGTTCCAGCTTTGATTTGAAGGTGCAGGTCAAATCTAAAAATAGTTTTTTGGATTGTTACTTCCTTGACAAAAAGTTGGTTTCATTGTGCCGTTTAGTTGAATTATAGTATCACAAAAAATTAAAAGAAAAGTCTGGAATCCCAAAAGCCTAGGTTATATTAATTTATTATACTCTGCCTGTCTGTATTAAAATTAATTTAACATATATGCTTACTGAATATTTCCTGGCTTCTCTTACCCAGAACAGAATTCTTCAGATGTACTGCAGAGAATGTTCATGTTCAGTCTGGTCTGTCAGTTTTGTGCAGCAACTAAAATTACATAACTAATTATTTTATTATGTATATATAAATTTTTGTTGATATATTATTATGGATTAAGTAATTGATACTATATATACTAATTTTATATATAAATAGAAAATAAAAGCACATAGATTCTTTATATGTGTATATATATCTCCTCTAATTTATATCTCTCTATATAGTTATCTATAGGTAGATATATTTTCATTCTCAGTCCCTGAAGTTCATGTGCTCAGATACCCGCCGGATTGCCGGCAGAGTGTAGCGTGGGCAGATCTCCCGTGGCCGCACTTCAGTGAGTTCTAGATGTTGGAGGTTCCACCACCCGGAGTGGGGCACGAGCTACGAGAAGCAATCCCGGGTAGAATTCGCACTGACACAGGAACTCCTTCAAAAATAAGACTGATATTTGGCAGCGTTGGGTGATTTGGATGACCTGCATTTTGATGCCACCAAATACAAGGTCTTACAGAACCAAAAAAGTGCTTTTCAGCTGGCAAACCTCCCGCTGCTTCCTGGATAGTCTTGAAGTTGACGATTTGCTGAAGCCCAGAAAGCCTGATTCTGAGCTTTGCCCTGTCTCTGAGCAAGGAGCAGCTCGTGTTGTTTAGCTGATGATTCAATTTCATCTTTAATTGTCACGGGTGATGCTGGGACTCCAGGCGCAGACGCGTGTGTGGACGGCAGTCGCGGTTCTCTGCCCCAGCCCGGCTCCTCGTCCTCCCCACACACCCCTCTCTACATACCAAGACCTTGCTGCTGTGCATCAGCTGTCTTGCTCGATTCCTCCTTAGAAAAAGCTTTTTTCTGTGTTTTGAGCAGCTGCTCTCTTGTGCCCCGTCTCTCCCCAGAGCGCTGGGGTAGCAAGGACCCCATCACTTGGCTTTTCTTCTCTCTTTCCAGCATTATTGGGTTAATGCTGCTGTTACACATCTTATTTACTCTGCCCTGCCTGCAGGCATCATCTGTCACAGTCTTGTGGTAAACTTTTGAGTGCTTACTGTTTCTCATAAGAGGGTGTATCCTCTAATTTCTAGGTTTACAGTTGGTGTGATCCCATAGCTATTGGATGATACTGGAGATGGAGGGATTCCTAATGGAGTGCTCGATTTCAGAAATATTCCCTCGTTCCTTCAATAGATGCTCTAGGGGGAATGGGGGTCTCTCCAAGGGGAGGGCACAAGTGGCATAAGAAGATTTTGACTTTTCTGCCAAGAGAGAGGGAAGAGCAGGAGAGAAGGATTACCGGTGCTGTACGTGTGTGCCTCCTGGAAATGCTGTGACCTCTTCTTACGCTGACGTGTCACTAAAGGACTTGGAAAGCAGGTGGTTGGAAAAGAGCAAGCGGCATGGTTTGATGTCTGGGAAGGTTCCTTTTCTCAATGAGAGGCTGAAGCTTCTAAGCCAACTTGCTTATTGTCAGCACAGCCCCAGGCAGAAATCTGCTGGCAGAGGGCTACGTGGCAAAAAGGCGGCAGAATAAAATCCTGAAACTGATAGTAGAGAAAAATGCCTTCAGCTAGAAGTAAGGTACAGGTCTGTAATAGATGGTGTTATGTATTAGAGCAGCTCAGCCTCCCTCATGAGACACCCGTCCCCAGAGCGCTGGGGCCAGCTTGGGGGCCCCCAACAGCAGAAGGACACGGAGCTGCTCGAGCGGGGCCAGAGGAGGCCACGGAGATGCTGGGGGGGCTGGAGCAGCTCCCCTGGGAGGCCGGGCTGAGAGAGTTGGGGGGGTTCAGCCTGGAGAAGAGAAGGCTCCGGGGAGCCCTTCGAGCGGCCTCCCAGGGCTTAAAGGGGGGACAGGAAAGGTGGGGAGGGACTCTGGGTCAGGGGGTGGGGGTAGGACGAGGGGTGATGGTTTTAAACCGAGAGAGGGGAGATTTAGGTGAGATCTAAGGCAGAAATTGTTCCCTGTGCGGGGGGTGAGGCGCTGGCCCAGGGTGCCCAGAGCAGCTGTGGCTGCCCCCTCCCTGGAAGGGTTCAAGGCCAGGTTGGACGGGGCTGGGAGCACCCTGGGCTGGGGGAAAGGGGCCCTGCCCGGGGCAGGGGGGTGGCACTGAGTGGGCTTTGAGGTCCCTTCCCACCCAAACCAGTCTGTGGTTCTATGAACTAGGGAGATGGTGTAGTTTTAATCAAATTAAAAGACAGGAGATGCTGTGTCTCAGATTTATGGGAACTTTGCCATATAAATTATGTGACAACCTGTGGATGTAATAATAAGGAAGACAGGTGAAAAATATTTTATTCTTTTTTTAAATTCTCCCCATCTCTTTAAAAGATTAATCAAAGAATAATCCCGCTGTTTATTCTTCTCCTAGTTCTTGAGGGAGGACTTGAATTATCATGACCCAACAGTCAAGCACAGCACCTTCCATGGAGAAGACAAGCTCATTAGTGTGGAAGATCTCTGGAAGGCCTGGAAGACATCTGAAGGTAAAAAAGACAAACAAGCAAATTGAAACAGCCCGCTCCACCCCCTTGCCATAAAAGTGATAAACGCTTTGGATTTCATATAACCTTGGCAGCAGTTTTTGTACCTCCCAGGGAAAATCTGCTGCTGCTGCTTTTGCTGCCTTGAACAAGTACTCTTCCAGCTCCCTTTTTGCAGGAGGCCTTTCAGGATTTTGTTGGTCTTGGTACTTCCCAACTGTTAATGCTGGCATCTGAGTATGGCCATAAAAGTATAAATTTGTTTTTTATTTCTCTGCCTCTATAAAAATGTGTATTAAAATAGAGCCAAATACTGCCCTATTCCAGGTTCTTCTTCAAATACCAAGTTTCAGATGGTATTTTTATGGGGTAACAGCGTCCTAAATATTCAACAGAGCTGTGTGGGAGTTTTCCTATAGATTGTGTTTTCCTTAGAAGAAATTAGCCGAACCTGAAAAGCTCCTTGATCTAGTGAAAAGAAGGTAGAATAAAGTCCTGAAACGAAGTATTCATAACTACATTCAATGTAAAACTAAGCTACAACCTGTTAAGGAATGGTATTATTCATCACAGCAAGTTAACCCAGGGAGGTGGTGGAAGTTCGATCACTGGTGGGAAACTTCTCGAAGCTTCTGAATCTTGGAAGAAACTTTAAAGTTGGGTAGTGCTTCCCTGGCTGTGCCTGCGGCTGCCTCACACCCTGCCTGGCTGTTTCCAGGCATCGGAGAGTGTTCGGGGTGGTCAGGAAAAGGCACAATTTCACTTCTACTTTCTTCACGACCTGAATTTTGGAATTGCTTTTTTGAGAAATCTTAAAACTCTTTTTTTTTTCATTCTTTCTAGTTAAGAAACTTTTTATTCTCAAATTTTGGGCTTCACTACAGAGTGATATTCTATCTTAAGACCAGTAGTACTAATAAGAAAAATCTTCAGTGCCTTGGAAATGAGAAGGTGAGGGAGGGTATAGAAGTAGGAGGATTGCACTTTTGCAAAGCATAAGTGTCGTGTTTACTGCAGATGCACTTTGATTTACGTACTGTGCTGTGAGTGGTGTGTTGCTGCAGATCACATTGGTGTGTTGGGTCTCTTTGTGATCACATGCACCATTCCTGCCAAAGGCTGCCCTTTACTCCTCCTCTTGCGCTTTTCCTTTTTTCTCAGTGCTCTAGTCATCATGTTGCTCTCAAGATCTGGAACGTCCTTTTCCCAATACTTTTAATGGCTGCTCTTCCCTTTACTTAGTCTTTTCCCTTCCCTCTGTCCTCCAAGATCAGGCAATCTTATCAACCCCCATCACTTGAAAAATTGGATTTCAGTCTTCTGATCAATTCATCAACTGTAAAGATTTCAATTTCTCATTTGTGTCCTGTTCTGTTTGTATTTGATTTTTCTGTCCTAGCCTTTAAATTACTTGGGGGTAGGATGTGCTCAGTGTTTTCAAAGCGCTGTGCAGCTGTAAGTAGTGTTACAGTCCCTCACAATCCCAGAAGGACTAAAGGAATACATAGGTACCACACTTGGAAGGCGGTTTGAAAGCCCAGTGGTTCTGTGCATGATCCTGGAGTTGTTTATCCAGGACCAGACTCTCTGTCCAATGGAGATGGGCAGCCACATGTTGGAAATTCTTGTCCAAACCACTTACAAGTCAGGATGATGCTAATGAATCACTTTGTCTCCTGTGTTCAAGGAAAGCCTCGTGTGAGCAATATTTATTCTGTTGTAAGGCTGTTTACAGATGGCTTTGCCTGAAGTATATTTTAATGTCTGCTGGGAAAGGGTAGAAATAATTAAGGGATGGAGGAGAACATCCCATGGTACTCCCCGGGTCCTTTAGTTGCTGAGCTGCTTTTGCTTTCTCCCTGCTTCTGACAATCACAGGACTTGCCATGTCTTTGGGTAGAGCTGCTGTGGCATAATGGTTTTCCTTGTGTTGGATTTAGTTACCACTCTTGTTTTCCCTTCTTGTCGTTCTGTATATCTAGCTGATAAAATACATTATTAGTTTCTAAAGGATGGTCCCATATAGAGCCTAATCATTTGAACTCGAGTCATAAAACTGGTAGAATCAGGCTTGTGTAAAAGGTCTGCTCCTTCATCTGCGTGTAAAAGCAGCTTTGAAAGGGCACCGAGGTCTGATGGGGATGAGTGCCCGGGGAGGCTCTGCCCATTCCATCTGTTTTCAAGCTGAGTGCTTTTCCTGCTTGCTGTTGCTGTTGTTCCTGGTCACACGTGTAAACTAAAAAGTTGTTTCTGCCCCCTGATTATCCAAAAATACAAAGGTTGTGACGCTCTTACAAGGTATTGGATTTGATAGATAAAGCCTTTGGTAAGCATGACTCTACCAAAGCTGCTGAAGTAGCAGATCAGATTGTCGCGGCAAGGATACAGGGCAGGGGAGCTGCTCATCTTTCAGAGAATCACAGACTGGTTTGGGTGGGAAGGGACCTTAAAGCCCTTCCAGTCCCAACCCCCCTGCCATGGGCAGAGACACCTTCCACCATCCCAGGATGCTCAACCCTTTGAACTTGCGCGTGCTTCCTGACGCTGCCAGCTTGTTTCTGAGTGATTTCTTCCCAAAATAAAGACCTCTGGATATGGAAGGCCAGAAAAAAAGAGAGGAGCTGGGGGGGGCTTCAGAGGAACCTGGGGTCTGGCAGGGCTGCTGTGTGAGGCTGAGAGGTGACCGTTGGCGTGGGGACGCGGAGGGGAGTCGCAGGACAAGCCCTGCATCGCTGGCGGGGACGGGGGGACCCCTGCCAGGTCTGGGGGAGCATTAACTGTGGGGAGTTTCTTTGAGCGAGGGCAGTTCGCTGGCTTCGTGTTTGCCAGCCTGCATCCGTGAGTCCTCGAGCACGTACGTGGAGATGACACCTTCTTTTCAAGTCTTGCTCTCCCCTGCTCAGCACTTGGCTCTCGCTCTGTCCTCTTTCCGTCGAAGGCGTTCAGCTCTGGAGTGAGCTGGAAGATGTTTCTCATATTTGTGGGACGACTCATTGTTGACATTTAAGAACTCAGCCCTCAGAGCCAGCAGTAAATGGGCCTTTTCTCCACTTGGCTGTTGGAAAGGGCATGTGAGAGAGGGGCCGACGGATGTTGGGCCAGGAGCGTGCGAGTTGGTGACTGTCAGCAGTGGGTGATGGCCAGCACAGCGCTCTGGGATGCTGGAGGCTGGGTAAATGCTGCAAGAGCTCAGCCCATGCTCAGCAAAGACCAAAGTTGATCAATTAAAGCACAGCAAACCCACCTCTGTCCTATAAAGAATATCTGTTGCATGGTTTTCTTTGCCTTCACGCAATTGCTAGAAGTACAACAAAAGTAAGTAGCAAAGGCAGAAGCTTAACTTCCAAAGGTTTCGTTATCTGTGGCTTTGGAGCTGTGTGTCAGCTCCAAAAATAATCCACAAATCCACAGGTTGAGGCACTTAAGGAGAAAAGTTCACCTGGTTCACTTGGGCTGCTGCACCCTCTCCACCTCCTTCTGTAAATCACTTTCTCAAGCTGTTTACAACCATTTTCTTACAGCATTTCTCCATATGCACTTCGGGTTTTTTTTAGTTGATGCTCACAGGGTCCACAGGTCTGGAGGAGGGGTGAGGCTTTCAGAGCATGTTGCCAGATACGTTAGCTGAATTCAGTATTCCAGGGGTTTGGGCATGTGGTGAGGATGAGTGTACTTTGTTGGGAGTTTGGAGACAGCAACATCACTCGGATGATAGAAAAGGAAGAGATTTCACTTGTCACCTGCCAGTACTTTGGGTGTTGCCTCTCCGAGGATCTCAGCCTCGGGCGCTTCTGGTGACATCGTGAAAGGCTGCCAGTGAAGCGTCACCCGCGCCAGCACTGTCTGAGGCTGCTCCTTTATCTGATGGCCTCATTGCATGTTTGGCTTTCGTGAGCTGAAAGCCCAGTGTCAAATCAACCACCATGTAAATGTTTGTTGTCAGAAGCTGCCCTTGGGAAAGCACCAGTCCTGACGCATGATGTGGTAGTGTCTGTTAAGGCTAAATGTGTAGCAGCCCATCGTGTCTACGCTGAATCTGTGTAGAAGAGACTAGGGAAAACAATCATACAAGCAACCAGGTAGAGGTTGAGGATCTGCAGGGTTGCCCAGAGTATCCGGGGGGATCATTTCTTGTCTTGATAGTCCAAAGGATTTAACATCCCCGCCCCAGATCACTTAATAGGAATGTGTTTAAACTCTGCAGATATTTTTTGTTTGCTGAAGGTGATAGGCTGAAGTCTGTCTGGTGAGGTTATGCTGCTGTTGCTGGCTTGACGATTGTAGTTGCTTAGTAAAAATATTAAGCCGCTTGCTTGTTTTCTGCCTCTCCTACAGTGTATAACTGGACAGTTGACGAGGTGGTTCAGTGGCTCATTACCTACGTAGAGCTGCCACAATACGAAGAGACCTTCAGAAAGTTGCAGCTGAGTGGACATGCCATGCCCAGGTCAGTGCTCACTGCATTGTCTTGTGTTCCTCTGGGATGCGTGCCAGGGAGAAAACCAGATCTGAGGCGGCTGGTAACATCGTGTGCTATTCCTCGGGGAGCAGAGCTGAATTCCTGTTCCGCTTCGGCGACGTTTAGAGGCTTTGGCTTTGCTGTGGTCCTCTCTGCAGGGAGTGATTTAGCTGTAAGCCAGCATGGGTCTGTTCTGGGTGAAAGGAGGGGCTGCAGTCCGAGTTGTGTGGTCGTGAGTATTGTTTGGATGCTAGACTTCACCTGCCTACGCCCGAAGCTACATGGTTAGAGCTAAAACCCTGACCTGGAACAGGGCAGACCTAGGCTACATCCTGGCTCTGCCACAGCCTGCTTTCATAACCCCAGCCAGTCGTGGAGCTTCTTAGTGATTGTTCATCATCCTCAGCAAAGGAGCATCTCCACTGGCCAGGTTGCACCTAAGTAGCATTTAAGTTCCCAGTTCAAGGGCTACTAATCATGTATCTGTGCACCAGTCAGCACTGGTATGTGCTGATGTTAATTTGTGCCCCTGGATGCTCTAGCAAAGGAGACTTCTGTTCCTCAAGAGAAACACTGGCTGTGGGTTGGCCTAAACTTTCAACAGGTTTGAAAAAACTCGGTGCAGCTTTTTGGGTAAAGGTTATTGTTACTGAAAAGGGGCTTGTAAACTGACTGGGAAGGAGGGATCAGCTGGGAACAGCTTCAAGTTTTTGTGGCAGTGCATGGTGTGCCCACTTTTCTTCCAAGTGAGAAGTGTGGTCTTACAGTCTATGAAATAAGATGTCAAAGGCTACCAATATAGGTTTGATTTAAAAAAGAAAAAAAAAAGAAGTAATTGGTAGGACACCAAAAGATCAGTTTTGATAGGAAATCAGTAATTTAGGTTGTTGGGATTTATGAAATAAGTGTAGCCTTCGTTTTTCTTCTCCCTCCCGAGTGAAGCCAGAGACACTGCTGCGTAACTCTGTCCCAGAGACAGCCTGTATCAGAGGTGACAGTCTTGGAGGGATTTCTTTTGTCCTGATAGCCTGAGCAGGGAGCTTTTAGGCCCTGCTCATTGCAACGCTCCTCCTGTAGTCTTCATGTTACTAATTTTTGGTCAGCTATTAATCCAGATGGATATGACCACGTCTACTTCTTTTTTTATCTTTTTTTCTTTTTACAGGCTAGCAGTGAACAACGCTACCATGATGGGAAGTGTTCTGAAAATGACAGATCGAAGCCACAGGCAGAAGCTGCAGCTGAAAGCTCTGGACACGGTGCTGTTCGGGCCTCCTCTCTGTGAGTACCAAGATTCAGAGTCTTTTGGCTGCTCATCAAGAGGATCTGTGCCTGCTCAGCATTGGAGAGCAAAGATAGATCCGTGTGAACCAAACTTTGCCCTGCACAGCCTCACCCTTAGGGTAAATCATTCCTGGTGCAATTCCCCCCGGAACGGGAGCGGGTTGCCTCTGGATTTATTGGAGCAGCTCTCCAGCCCGGGGGCATCCTGCCTGCTGGCCTCAGGTTGCCTCTGGATTTATTGGAGCAGCTCTCCAGCCCGGGGGCATCCTGCCTGCTGGCCTCGTGTTTCCACCTCCGGGCTGCTCGCCCTGTCCTGCCGGGCTCTCCCGTGTCCGTGGGGTGAAACCTTCCCGTCCTTCCCGCTCGTGGCGGTGCTGGCCGTGGGGCGAGGCCTGCGGCTGCTCGGGAGAGGATCTGTTGGAGGGCAGGGAAGCTGCTGCCGGGCACCCGGGGCTGCGCCGGTGACTCAGGCTGCAGATTGCCCGCCTCTGGATGAGGGAAATGGCAAGTAGGCTGGATGGGGAGGATTTGGGGTGGATGAGAACGAGGGACTGGGTTCCTTTGATGCTGATTATAGGCGTCTGTTGGCGTGCTCTTGAAGCCCTCTGATGCTTATCTCGGCACTGCTCGGGGTGCTCCTTTTGCATTCGTTCCGTCTGGCTCACATCTACTGTCTATTAAAGGTACTTTTGTCTCTCTCCCTCTTAGTCATGTCTTTCTCATGAGCTTTAGGTGCTTTGGTGAGGTGAGCAGAAACCTAGCTTGATCAGGGCCTGTTTCTGCTTGGCATTGTGCAGATGAGATGGATTCTTAGGGCAGACTGTTGCCTGTACATGATTTGAGCCCTCTTCCACAGTGCTCCTCGTTCCCTTTTAGTTGTCCTGCATCCCCTGTGCGGGAGGATTAAAATGAAGCCAAAGGGACACTTTCTTACCATGGTGCAAACGCAATAGTCTGGGCACAAATTCTGACTCAGGAACTCCCCCAACCTTGCTGACAGCTGGAGGGTTACACCATCGAAAATACCACTTTGTGCTTCCTCTGCTTTTATATTGTTTTTTAAGCAACTGCAGCTGTCTGCTGCTGGAATAGCAGATGGGATGTACTCCTGCACTGTGGGACACAGATCTGCTAACAAACTAATGCAGAAGTTCAGGGATTTTGGCTTTTTTCCAACCTTCCCTCTCTGGGCTACCCAGCACTTGGCCAGTGGGAAGTGATAAGGCACTTCCATTTATTACAGTAACAATATATATATTTTTTTTTAAGTCCAGCTGTTAACACAGTCTTTTCTTGTTTGGAGCCTCTGGCCAAATTCCTGAGAAAAGGTGCAGTGAGGCAAATCCTGGGAAGGCTGGCTGTGCAGAACAAACTAAGTGAAATTTATGAGGCTTGGCAGAGATATAAGCTGAGGGAATTAGAAGCCTAGGTTATACAATTAGCCATTTTTGCTTCCAGTTATTAAGCAGCGTACATTCATTCAGGTGGTTTGCTTTTTTATTGATGCTTGGCCTGTGCCACATGCAGGCACTCAGTGACATTGCACAGGGGTGGCAGAGATGTGGGGCGAGTGTCTGTTATCGCTGCTCACCCAGCAAAGGCTCGAGCCCAGTGACTCCAGTGCTGGGAGGGGGAATTTTTCACGCAGTTCTCGGATGCTCTGTAAAAGGCAAAGTAAATTACTTGTAATGGTTTGGGATTAATGGTTGAGGTACTCGGTTTTGCCCTGCGGCTGTCGTGGCCCTGGAACATGAACCTCCTCCGGTCACGCAGGTGAAAGCGCGCACTGAATCGTCCTGATCGGGTCGTGTCAGAGCAGCACGGGTTTGTTACGGATTTTGTGACCTGCAGATGTGTCAGGTATGTGATAGAGGAAACAGGCTTTCAGTTTTTAGCTGAAGTAGAGATTTAACACTTTCTAGAAAGTGATTTTTTTTTTTTTTTTTTCTGTTTTCTGGAACTTGAATGGATTTGTCTCCGGTTCATACTGCAGTGTGTGGTGAGAGGTTGTTTATCTAAAACTGATTCCTTAAGGAATGGATTGTGAAACAGCAGTTGTCAGCAGCCATTAGCAGCCGGCACTTTTGGGAAGTACTCGGTGACCTCTTCAGCTGCAGAAGCAGCTTTTGTGCAGTGGTGGATTTAGTGGTTTCAGGTACGTTCCTGTTAGGGTTCTTTTCAGGTGGTCTGTTTGGAGCGGGAAGCTGCTGGCCGTGGAATGTGGCTCACAGGCGCAGGATTTCACTGTCTTCTCTCTTGACCAGGGTTTTTCTTTTCTCTTGAAGCTCCTTTCTGTTCACCGCAGGTGTAAAAGCATTCAAATGAAATCAGCCTAGACTTTTAGCACCATGACTGCTTCCTGCAGACTCATAAAACCCGAGACCTCGTTGTCGGTGGGGATTATAGCACATGCACCAAGGTATGGTTCCTCACTGGCACGGAGCTGGGTGAAGCTTTTTCCCATCCTGGGGCCAGAGAGCTGCTTCTCTGCTGCCTCCTGAGATTTGTTGCAGAAGCTCCAGCGTCGGGGTGGCCGAGTGGGGCACGTGGCCGGTTTCTGTGCTGGTCTGTAGGCTCCTGTAATCCCACGAGGTCTGATTTCCTGGGCCAGGCTCCAGACAGGCCATTTCCTCCTTCAAACAGGTCTGCCCACTTGCAGGGTTGTAGCTCTGTAATTAATCCAAGCGCGAAGGATTATGGTAAAATTATAATCTAAGCAAGATGAAGCGATTGCTTCTTCTGTGTCCATGTCCCTTTGATGTCCTGTTCCTGTGGTTCAGGAATTCACGCTGCACAAGATACCACAACTTCAGGTGAAACAGGAGAGTGGAATTCAAGAAAGCAAAACGTAAAATTCAAAACAATAGATATTTTTGGTGAAAAGTGAATTTAAATTTTTGTTTCTCATAACTTTCAAGTGATGGAGACCGAGACGTCGTGTCCCCTCACAGGTGGTTCAGGCCACTACTGTGGTACTGTTTGGGGTTAAAAGGCTGACAAAAAGCGGTGTACTTCCATATAGCTTCCAATATAGCGATTTGTTTCCCTTTATTATAATTAAAAGCATATTTGACAAGTATTTCTAGATCTGTTGAATCATTATTTGTTTAATGCAATAGAATTTCTTAACCAAATAGCAAATTAATTTATCTCTGTGAGATTTACTATCCACTTTAAATATTTACAGTTAACTGGATTGTGTTTAGATTACCTGCACCTAGATAGAAAAGCAGCTTTGTCCCATTACTGGGCTTCATAGGGTCCGTTAGCGTTATTATATGGTTTTCTCAGTCTGTGTGCCAGCAGCAGCCAGTCGATGAGCTGGGCTTTAGGCTGGGGGTCTCTTCAGGAGCAATAGCTCTGAACCTGAAAAGCCAAGGAGCGGGGCAGCAGGCAATCTGGCTGGTCTTACGGCATCCTACTGCCAGTGAAAATCAGCACATTTCTAAAAATGTCTTTCTGTAATTATCTTGTGGGTCCACTAGCAAATAAAGAGAGTGTTAAGTACTCGAGAAAGGACTAGGGCTTTATCAACAGATAGAAGAACTGTAGGTGCAATCAGAGTTTATCAAGCTGTTGGCTTCATTTGGGTTTTTTAAAAGCGGAGGCATTTTTGTATTTTGTTTTCTGTTGTGATGCTTACGGCAGCTGCCACCAAGGCCGGCTTTAGAGGGAGCGGTGCCTGTCCCGCATCTGTGTCCTCGGGTGGTTCTTTCCTGTCTTGTATCTGGAAATGTCTGCTACTAAACGAGGAGGGTACATCACTGATCTGATTAATTCACGTAGGGAAATTAAAAAATCAGTAATTCCTATGTGTGTGTTTTCTGATATTTCAACCTAGATGTCAACAACTGGTGTAGAATTTATTGAATATGTAGGTTTTCTCTTGTTTTATCAATGCTTATGTAAGTTGCTGATTTTCTAACAATCCATCCTGGTTCTATTCCCAATGTAAAACTTTGTGAATCTTTTGGTTTAAAAGTTGAGGCTTTGAATTTGTGTCTTTCATGGTGGGACTTAAGACACCTGAGGTTACTGTTCAGCTGGTGCTATTGTGCAGCTTTTTGCCTTGCTTCTTTAAAACACGAAACAAAGGCAGCGCTGCAAACCTGACGTGACATTAAGAGTCTCGCAATCAATGCGTAACCACTACTGTCTTTCATAAAATTGTGTCCGCTCTTCCTTCTTTCCCCCAAAAAGAAAAGAGCAAAAGTTTAAAATCATTCTCCCTGGGTGTACGTTGCTTTTTCCTGCAGCTTTTGCAAGCCCAGGTTTGCCCGGTGGCGGTTGCTGGTGCCGGGAGCGAAGGGGTGAAGCGGTGCCAGAGCAGCAGAGCAGAAGAGGCCACACGTGAGCAGGGAGAACAGGCTGTGCCAGCCCGTTTTGCAGGCGAGGGGGAAATGCAGCCTGATTTAAGTTGCAATAAACTGGACACAAACAATCCGAGCTCCGGCTATAAAACTTCTGCTCCCGTGCCTTGCTGTACGGTTGGCCTCTGTCACAGGGCGTTTGGTACAGACACTAAATAGCTAAAATAACACAAAGTTCTGGCACGCCACGTTAAAAGGCAGCAGGAAAATTGAGAGTAGAAGGATTTATCTTGTGTTGCCTTGGTGATACAGCACCCCGAAGGGTCACCCCCCTGGCAGCTGTGAGAGCACAAGGCTTGGCGGGCGGGCAGAGGGAAACTGATGCCAGCCACGACGGGAGAGACCCAGCCCGTCCCGCCCTGCGCAGGCAGCGACGGGCGGTCGCTGCACGTGGAAAACGCCGCCTTTTTCTGCTCGATGTAGGTTTTTGGCCAGTGACTCTGGCCGCTGAACGTCCCCGGTGGTTCTGACCCGAGCCTGGGCCCGGCCAGAACAACTGCGGCAGAGCAGGGCAGCCCACCCGAGCTCTTCCGTGGGTGGCCTGAGCTTAACAAGAACTACCCCAGAAAAGGCATTTTATGCCAGAACACCGCTGCTGTCGTTACTTGCGGTCTTTCCCACTATTCC